TACACGACGGAGATGGTGACTCCCGTTGACGGAGGTGGCTGATTCCTTCTCATCAAATCTTCATTTTTCTCTCAATGAGCCTATTTTGGGAATGAATTTTTCCTCTTTTTTTCTTAAGCAACGGAGTTTCTGCAAGGAATTTTAGTATTTAAGCAACCCATTTTGCCACTAAATCATCTCCAATGCAAAATTTTAATAAGAAACAGCAGACATTAAGAAACAGCTAAACAATCTACACTAGAGATGTTCTAAGTCTTTTTACTTTATATTTTGATAAATAATGGTAATATACATAAAATAATATTAAATTTACTATAATATTTTTTTAATGACAATATGAAATTACAAATAATTGAATCATCTTAAAAAGAATTTGAAACTTGATTCAATAATTAACTTGTTAAACTTAGTTTATGAACTAAATAAACTTGAGCTAAATATTAAGTTTGGTAAATAAATTAGTAGAATTTGAGTTACATATAATTTAATTCATTTAGTTCATAAATTAGCTCAACACATAAATATATTAATATAATTAATATTTAATTTAATTTCAATTTATTAAAATTTGAAAAATTTTAGTTATAAATTTATAATAATAAAAAAGTGAATACTTTAGAATTTTATGATTATGGATTGTATTTACTATTATTTTATGCAAGTTAAAATAGTTTTTATTCATACAAATTTTGGATGTAATTAATTTTTTTTTAAGTTATACCTTATAACTTTGCAAAATTAATAACATAAGTTATATTTTGTCTTTTAAAAAAATTAAATAATTATTTAATTTAAAAATATATTATTAAATTAAAATTTTGAAATATATAAGATTAAAAAAATTAACTCTTGATTCATGTAATTTGAGCTAATGAACTAAACTTAGTTGTTAATGAGCTTAAATCAAAATACTAACAAACTCGAATTGAGTCGAGTTTAAGTTAAAAATAAAAAATTCATATTGAATTATAAATTAAATCAAATATTATTAAATCAAACTAAATCAAATTATACTTAATTTGAATTATTTTCAACCCTAATAATAATAGTAGTGGTAAAAAAATGATAAGATAATAATAATTTTAATTCAATATTGACAACAATGTGGTAAAAGTAACATTAACAATAATAATAATGACCGATAGATATAAGATGTTGATAAGCAACACCAATAATAAAAGATAAAATGATGATACTTTTGTCAATCAGATATTTTATACTTAAAATACAAAAATTAAAATATTTTCTCATGATTTATTAAGTTATAAATGGTAAAACTTTTGTCTTGCTCTTTCTATTTTGTACTTAAAAGGCAAAAGTTAAAATATTTTCTCATGATTTATTGAGTTACAAATGCTAAAATTTTTGTCTTGCTCTTTCTCATCCGAATTGATTTGTTCATGATCTTTTTATTAATCAAACTTGAAATAATTAATAATCAAATTTATCTTCTTGTCCAATACTACAATTTTTAGCAAATTAAAGAAAACTAAGAGTTAATACAAAACAATATCGGGAGTGTTTTTTCTATTCTACCAATTTGATGAATAAAAAATAAAAAAAATAAAAAAAAATTAATTTAAAATATAAAAATAAAAAATAAATGCAAAAAACAAAAATAATTAACAATTTAATTTGTTTATTTTTTTAAAAGAAAAAGAAAGTAGTATGTATGAGGGGAAGGGACACCGTTACAGTATTGGCGAGGTGGGGATCGAAGAACCCTGGAATCCAACCTCCGATGGCAGCAACGGACAGATACGCTTCTCCGGCCGCCGCATCGGCGGAGGACAACGCTCTGTGAGTCACCTCACCGCACTCTTCATTTGCCGCCATTGATGCATTGCACAATTCACTTTCACTTCCTTTTCGCAGCTTTCTCGATATACTGCACGAGGCTCCTCTCTTCGCTCACCGCAAGGCCGCGAGGGTTCTCGGGAGTGTCTTCTACTGCATACTATTGGCAAGTTCCAATCCCAATGCCTCATTTGGCAACATCTTATTATCAATTTTGCTTGCTTATTTATTTATTGTTTCCTTCCATTTTAGGCAGGTTATGCTACTTTGGCCATTGGAGCTCCCTGGATATTTCGCCCTGTTCAAGGACTCATCTCTCCCGTGCTTTGCAGCTGTGATGTGCTTCTTTTGCTGTTAACAGGTTTGGAAATCCGAATTGGAACTCTCCTCAATTAGGTTTTATTCGTTATGTTATTTCTAGACAATAAATGCTTTTTGCTGTGCCTGTAGGTCTTTAGTTTTCTTTGCTTGTTTAGAGCGTTTTTCTTTTCTTATTGCACTGCATTTTGCTGCTTTTGTCTCTGTCTGTTGAGATCTTCAGAATGCTAATTTTCCTTGTTACATTGATATGGATGCTATCCAGTTGTATTTAGCTTTTTCTAGTGATTGTGCTAACTGTAAAAAATTATTGTTCTGGCCTTAAGTCCGCTGACATATTAGAGTTGGCGCATATGAATTATTATCCACTTTGAAACTTGTATGGCCGTTATAGTTTTGTCTTGGAAAGATGTCATATTTTTTGAAAATCAAACATGAACCACTATACTGATTTTTTGAGAGAAGTTAGTGATAAGGAGAAAAATTATATGACTTAATTAATTTTCACTATAGCCATTTTGTCCAGGATTTTTTTTTCTTATCCATGAGAATCAATCTTAGTTCCAAGGGGCTTATTACTCATGTATCATGTTTAACCAACTGAGCTAGAACTCCTTGATTTTAGGAGCTGAATATGAGGATGAATAAGTCACCATCCTTTTCAACCAATTGTGCTAGGCCCCCTTGATTCCAGGAGTTGAATATGAGGATGAATAACCTTCTAAAATCAAGAGTGGCACCTGAGGAATTTGATGACTACTTCTTTAGAAGATGGCCCGGGAAAGTGGAAATAAATATGAAAATGTACAACCTGACAACAAAACAAAAAGTTAAACCGTGACCCATCGCTGCTTGTTGCATGCTTCACTTCGAGTCCCTTAATGTTTTGGGAGCCCCAATCAGATCCCTATAGAATACTTAAAAAAAATTATGTACTAATACACTGTCACTGGTTAAAGTTAATTTTCAATGTTGAGGTTTGTTGAACTTAATAGAATCGAAACTCAAGTGTAGAAAAATGCTTTTGGGTTTACATTATTATTATGTTCATAATTGCTATTGTATAAAGTTAACAATATTGCATGTAGCTTAATAAATATCAGTTTAATTTTACTAAGCATTATAACTTATAAGCTTGGTCTACTTAATATTCAGTGCATACAGTTTTATTATGTTTAAATGCCATACTTTTACTGTTTCAGGAATCTTTCAACAATACTTGGTTTATCAAGTACAGAAGATACGCTTGCAGGTAATTCTTGTAATGACAAGTACTTATTGTCACAGTAGTTTCTGAAAGTTCTGCAATGGCATAAGACCTATAAAATAATATAATTACCAATAGAATTTTTGCTGCAAAGATTTCTGAAAGTGTGAGTTATGTTTGGTGTTGTTTTATTGTTTGATTGTTTTTTCCTTCATCACCAACGTGATTTTTCAGGGATATTATAGTTTCAGCCAGAAGTTGAAATTTATTGTTCGCATACCCTTTTCTATTACAGCGTATGGTATGTATATATCAGTTTTTAGACTTACCTTTCAGATCATACTTAATATGTGAAGTCAATTGATATTTATCAAGAACCAACTCAAACCCAAAACTTAAATTGTTTGGTGGAGGCAAGTGAATGTTTTTATATTTTTTAACAATGTGGATAGTTTATATTATTTGAGTTGTTAATTATAATGTGCATGTTTTCAACAATTTGATTTAATGTCAGGAACTGCTGCAATGCTACTTGTCATAGTCTGGAAACCATACACTGGTTTTCTGTCAATCTCTGCAATATTGAGGTATATTTTCCTATTGGTTATACTTGCCCTTTTTAAATATTTTTCTAGGATAGATTAAACTAAAGTAAAAAATTGAATATTGGCAGGAGTATGTCAATGCCATTTCTAAATATGAAGGACTACATACTTAATCTGAATCTTGCTATGTCTAATAGGTGCCAACTGCAGGGAATATAGTCAATATACATTGAGGCTTTTTTGTATGTTTGGTGGAATGAGTATACAAAACTTAGTGTCATTTTAAGAATTAAGAGTGATTTTACTAGTAGATAGTGAGATTCGACAAATTGCAATGTACAGAGTTTCTAGCTGAAGTATGTATGCTTTTATAAGGAGACAGAGCTTGGTTGACATTTGACACTTTATACAGCATATAGCGTGTTTTTATCTCCCTGCGCCTTTCCTCTTGTCTAGTTGTGTTAGCAGTTGAACTTTTGGCATGGCCATAATCCAATTATATTCTGTTATTCACAATTTGCAATATATTTCCTTAGAGATTATTTTATTGTAATTTATGTATAAAATGTTATAACTCTATTATGCTTATTATCTTCCAAGGTTTGGTTTTTACCTAATGATACAATTCTTCACCATCAAGTTTTTGTTCCATGAGGCATATGACTTCCCTCTACTATTTTTCTTTAGCAAATGAATGGAAATTAGTTGTTCACTTTTTTTACTTTACCAAAATAATTGTCTTATTTTGGTTGTTTTAAAATTCTACAGGATTATTATGATAGTTGAAGCAGTAAGTTCTGGATGTTTTATGAGTCTTTACATCGGTAAGTTTTATATTTTATTTTTGGTTGGGGGTGAGATAAAGCTAGAAATTTCATTTTTGGTTTATTTATATTGGTCAAAATATCACAACTAAAAATTTAATAAAAAAATTTAACAATTTAAGAACATTTAAAGGAATACCTTGAACCCTCAGGTGTTACAGTCCCTCAAAAATCTAGGAAAATGTATTGATAGATAGTACTTGTATTTTAATAGATACTATTATATACAAAAAATTTAAAACAACTTTAAGAAATTTGTTTAAAGAGTATTATAAGTAGATACTGATATGTTCTGCTTAAATTTACCAATTTTATAATTATAAGATATCTTGTTCGTGTATAGTAGTAGTAGTTTTACCTTATCCTTTTTATCAACATTTTTGGTGCAAGCAGGTTACATACACCAGTACAATTCATTGAACTCACATCCTGATGTTCTGAAGTCTTTATACTCACCACTACAGCCATCAAGTTCTCTGGAGGGTCTAAGGCAAACACTTTGTAATTTAGTTTCTTTTTTAATTACTTTGTGACACAATATCCATGATTGATTTTCAAACCCAAAAATGAAAATAAATTGTTCTGCAAACAAGTATTTCTCCATGCATGATGATCTACTTTTTATGTATGCAACTTATAAGATCACTTTATGCCATTAACACAAATGCAAATCACATCTGCAAACACAAATCAAAATGTGGGTTCTTGGATTGTGAAGAAACATCTTTGATGCAATAGGTACCATGACGGTAGGCTCTCTGATCAGCAAATGGCTTTGCTGCAATATCAGCGTGAAAATCTTCATTTTTTGAGTGAGGAGGTATACAAAGAGTTGAAGCATTCATTTACTGTTGATTATATAAACTATAAATGATAATTATATTATGGACATTCCACTTATGATAATTCTTTTAATTAGTTCCCCATCAACATTTGGTCTTGCAGATCCTTCGATTGCAAGAATGTTTAAGCAAATATGAAAGAACTGATGATCGGAGCACACCACAGGTAACAATAAACACAGATAAACCTTTTTTTCTTCCTAGTATTTACTATTATTTTGTTATAAATTCCCATATGTTTATGTGTCTCTTACAATGGGCATGTGTTGTGGTTGTGTCAAGGTAAAATTTTCAAAAATAGGACTTTTTTAATCAGGGAGATTAGCAAGTTATGCAATAGCAAACCCTAAACCCTAAAATAGGACTTCTTTAATCAGGGTGAGACTAATTTAATTTTTAACTTCAAGGATCTTGAGTCAATACCTGAGGCTGATAGTAATAGTACTCCCTATTCTGTTGCTATCTTGGATGAATTCTGTAGATATTGTATCTGTCTGTATTTTGACTTTGCTTGTTTTAAGTATTAGCATTTGTAGGATATGTAAAGTTGAGGGATGTAGTTAATGCTGTTTCGTTTGTTTGATTCAATTAATTTTGAACCTGATTTCATGTCAATATTCTTGAGAATGTAGTTGAAATATTAGTTTACATAGGAATGGCAATAAGTCTGGTTGAGTTGGAGCCCAGGCTAAGACTCGGCTCACTTAGATTATGTCATGTCAGGATTGATTGATAAAAAAGTGAACCTAATTTATTGACTTGGGATCACGACTCATGCCTTTTTTTTTTTGGCTAAATTACTTACGTGCTAGACTTGAATTGTAACCCAATAACATTTACATAATTAATTATAGAGCAGTTTAGCCAAACAAGGTTTGATATTGGTGTCAGAAAATATTAGTTGCTTCGTCCACATTTCCCCCTTTTTTGGGTAATAAATTGTTTATATTGCAGGTTGACCTTGCCCATCTACTAGCAGCTCGTGATCAGGAGTTACGGACACTTTCTGCAGAGGTACATACTTGTAAATGAAAACACAACGAATATTTTTTTAATGCCTCGAGTTGTATTTTAACCTTTTAGCAAATGTTACTGTTTAGTAGCTTCACAAACTATAACGACTCTTGAATTTATTCAGATGAACCAGGTGCAATCTGAGTTAAGGCTTGCCCGGTCCTTAATCGCTGACAGGGACTCAGAGATCCAGCATGTTCGCATGACCAACAATCAGGTATCTTTACAAAGTTTACTAATGCTAAAAGGTATGTGCTTTAACTAGAAGGTGCTTACAGTAGAATTCTTGTTATAATCATCACTACAGTACGTAGAAGAGAATGAGAGACTCAGAGCTATTTTGGGAGAATGGAGTACCCGAGCTGCCAAGGTATTATTCAATAATAGAAATATATGCGAACAGCTAGCAATCTACCATGTGTTAAAATATACTTAGGCTGGAATTTGTCGTTTAAGTATGTTCTGCTGAAACCTTCTAATATGATATGATTAAAGCTTGAGCGAGCACTGGAGGTTGAGAAGATGTCAACGCTTGAATTACAAAGGAAGCTTTCAACGCTAAGAAGTCAAACGAATACCTCAGCAGAAGCAACTGAACATGGAGCTTAATTCACTAGTAGGCAAATGCATATGGTACATAAGCAGTCCCAGTTCATGTCGAACATTTAACCTTGTTCTCACCATTTTAAAGAACACGTAGACGTGTCTACGGTACCTTCACAGTTGTAGAGAGATCCATTGTACATATTAGTTCAAAAAATGTGGTTTTATTTTTGTTTGGTAAGAGAAATACGTAATGATGTAATTTGATCGAGTTATCGTGCGCTATTATGCTCAATATTTGCATCAGTCCTAAAGATAAAATTGTGTTGTTTGAGCGAAGTCAATATACAATTTAACTCGTTTCATAAATCAAAAAATTTGTTACTTAGTAATGATTAATGACTTGATGGAAGCGATTATGTAATAAATATGGTCGTTGCTGCATAATTGAAGTGCTCAAAATTGTTTACTTTTACCATCGTAAAACAAGCAAAATTATGGCACGTGAGGCATTACAAAAACCACTTGGTCTATGACTATGACAAAAGGTCATCATAAACCATTTAATAATAGCCCATGCGCCTAAAACAAAAATTTTCAATTCTTTTATGATATGATTACAATGGGCTAACCTGTGAAAATTCATTCAAAAAGAGACACCTAAACACATTGTTGAAGAAATCACAACGTTTGGCAATGCCTCCCTCTCCAACTACAATATCCAAGTCATATTTGCAACCTCTTGTACAATCCGGGCAGTAAGTTACCTGTATTAAAGGAAATACATGTTAACTTATGAATTCAAAATTTCTGATGAGACACGGATGAGCTTTGCGAAGGACTTCGATAACACTAGCTCATCAAAACAACCCACGAAAAAAGTGAAGGACGACTCCATGGACGATGGGATGGAAGAGGATAACATAACTTGAGAGCACACTAGTGTCCAAACTCTTTCATACAAAGAATCTCTGCTGAACAAAAAGTATGATATGGTCTTGGAAGAAGACTTCCCAGAAATCGTGATGGATGAAGACCTGCCCGAAAATAGGTGGTATAAGGATGACGATCCTATCCCGCGACCTCATGAAAATGGCCCGGTTATTCCTCTCACTGACGAGGAGTGGGAAAGTTGGTCGGAACCTTGGAAGAAGATGTTGGTGGTGAAAGTCTTAGGTAAAAAGGTGAGCTTTTGCACTTTGGAGAATAAGTTACAGAGGTGCTGGACGAAGGGAGGGCCGATTTCTATCATCGACATGCCTGAAGATTTTTATCTGATAAAGTTCTCTAAGGAAGACTACCAGTTCGCCCTGTTTGAGGGCCCGTGGTTAGTCATTGATCACTATCTCATAGTGCAACGATGGCGCCCTTTCTTCCTCACACATGCGAAGAAGGTCCAAAAAGTTGCAGTCTGGATTAGGATTCCAAGAATGCCGATCGAGCTATATAATTCTAGGTTCTTGACTAGAGTTGGTAATATCCTTGGTACCATGCTAAAGATAGACAAACTTACATCTATCCAATCCCGGGGTAAGTTTGCTCGGATTTGCGTTGAAATGGATCTTCACGCTCACTACCAACCCACATTATGGTTAAAGGTCATCCTATATTCCATATTCTTGGAATATGAGGGCTTGCACTCTATTTGCTTTAAATGTGGCACATATGGGCACAAAAAGGAACAGTGTAACTTGGGACCGACTATTCCATCTTCTGGTCCAACAATGACCTCAACCATGAAATCTAATGCAGCACCGATGAACGCAGTGGGTTTGTCAACCAGTTCTCAAGAAAATAAATCCCAGCCACTAGAAGAGAGGGTTCAACAGTCTGAACGAAGAGATGACCACTCCTATGGCCCTTGGATGTTGGTGAAAAGAAAACCCCGTCGAAGGAAAACAAAGGGGTTGAGCAACTCAGGAGTTCCGATCAAAGGAGACCTCAGTCAGGAGGTGCCTAAGCTGCAAGAAACGACCAAACTTGCTTCCTAAATGAAACCCAGATTTCATGGGATCTTGTCGGACTCGAATCCTGCTGGAAAAGATCTCTCTGTAGAAGCAGTCCACACAGATGCCCAATACACCCCTCAAAAGTAGAGCATGCACATAGAGCGTATACGAAATAACATTGGAGGGAAAAACCCACAACAAAAGAACCCCACCGTTGGGCTTGAAAAAGGAAAAAATACCAAGAAACCCAACATAAAGGCCCTTGCTCGGGCAAAAAACATGGTTCCTCAGCCAGTGGACCCCACAAAGGTGGAGAGATTACAAACTTCCCTCGAGATTATTTCTGTAAAGGTCAATGAGGAGAGAGAAAAGGCCAAGGAGAGAGATAGAGATATGGTTAGACTTATGTCTATCTTAACAAAACAAAATGGTTTCTCGGAAATCGGTATCCCATGTTTGCACACTGTGAGCAGGATGTTGATGGGTTTGAAAAGGTTAATTCAGAGATTTTTGGTGATGCTACCATAGAGTCCAAGGCTGGATCAGAGTTACAGGGCCCAATTTCATGCATGAAACGTATTGGACCTACTCCCATGCATACTAAGGACGTTGAACATCCAAATATAGCTAAGGCCTCCCTTGCATCTTCTAAGACGCCACATAAACCCTCTACCTTATGATGAACATCATATCGTGGAACTGTAGGGGCACGACTAGCAAAATTTTCCCCACCCTTATCAAAGACCTTGCGAAGAATAATCATTCATCCCTTGTGGTGCTTGTTGAGACTCATGCCAACCATGATAGGTCTCTTCGTACTATCTCTCGATCTAGTTTTAACTGTTTTCACATCGTGGAGGCGAGAGGCCATGCAGGAGGGATCTGGATTCTGTGAAATACCTCGTCTTGGAGTATTGAGGTACTTGGTGATTCTCCTTTTAATGTTTACTTGAATGTGCAGTTTCGGGACTCTTCGCCTTGGCTTCTCACAGCGGTTTATGGAAGTCCCCAGGTTAATAATCATACCCTATTATGGAAACAACTGATTAATATTGCTACCTTGATCCAAGGGCCTTGGGGTGTGGTGGGTGACTTTAACTCTGTCTTGTACCCTCATGAGAGGGAGGGATCTCCTTGCCATTCTCTCCGTCGGGATTCTAGCTCTTTTAGAGATGTGGTTCATCAGTGTGGTCTCATGGATGCAAACTATGTTGGGTATCCTTTCACCTGGACTAGGGGCGAACAGAAAGCACGTCTGGATAGACTATTGATTAATCTACAATAGAGAACCATGTTCCCAACTGCTGCTGTCTTTCATCTACACCCTCTTAAATCAGATCATGCTCCTCTCTTGATTAAGATGGAAGAAGAAGTTGGCCCAAATCGTAAACGTAGACCTTTTCGATTTCAAGCTGCTTGGTTTACCCATGGGCTCTTTGAGGAGTTTGTTAAAAGTAATTGGCCTTCCCCAGAGCCTTGGGATCGCCATATTTCCTTGTTCTGCAACTCCCTTAGAGATTGGAATGAACACGTTTTTGGGTCCATCCACAAACAAAAACATATTATTATGCGTCGTCTAAATGGCATTGCACGGGCCAAACACCCTAATAGACCTCTCAACCCTTTCTTAGCCACGCTTCAACGAAACCTCTGGAAAGACCTTGAGACCATCTTGTTCCAAGAAGAATTATTGTGGTACCAAAAATCACGATCAAAATGGCTTACTTTTGGGGATAGAAACACTCATTTCTTCCACTGTTCTACCATTATTCGTAGAAGGAAGAACCATATTCTCAGTATCCAGGACACAAATGGATCATGGGTTTATACTAAGGATAACTTAGAGAGCATGGTCACAAACTTCTATAGAGATTTGTTCTCTTCTGATGGGGGTTATCAACCCCTCCCTTTATCGAACCTCTTCCCGAAGCTTAATGAGGTGCAGCTCCAAGAACTCTCTAAAGAGGTTTGTTCATATGAGATCAGAAGGACACTCTTAAGCATGGGAAACTTTAAGGCTCCAGGAGAGGACGATCTTCATGCTGCATTCTATAAGCACCAATGGGACGTTGTAGGCTCATCTTTATGCCAACATGTTCAAGACTGTTTTAAAGATCCAACAAAGATCAAATCCATAAATAAGACATTAATATGCCTTGTTCCCAAGATTGATCATCCTATAAATCTCTTGCACTTTTGACCAATAAGTTTATGTAATGTTTCTTACAAAATCCTTACCAAAGTGATAACTCAAAGACTCAAGTTTGTTTTGGAGGAGTTGATCAGCCCTGTTCAATGTAGTTTTGTGCCTCACCGTCAGAGCAGAGACAATATTATCATCATGCAGGACGTAATACTCTATGAAGACCAAGAGAGGTAAGGGGGGTTGAATGGCCATTAAAATTGACCTTGAAAAAGCCTATGATAAATTATACTGGGAGTTTGTTGTTGATACCCTCCATGATGTGGGCCTCCCACAAATTCTGATCGAGATCATCCAAGGCTGCATTAGTTCTTCGTCTATGCATATGCTATGGAACGAGGAAGCTCTTGAGTGTTTTACACCGTCTAGAGGACTTAGACAAGGGGATCCAATATCTCCACTTCTCTTTGTCATGTGTATAGAACGTTTATCGCAACTCATTGAAACCAATGTGAAATCAAAGGCTTGGAAACCTATCCGACTTTTCCAAGGATGGCCCGTCCCTATCTCACCTAGCCTTCGCAGATGACCTTGTTATATTTGCCGAGGCCAAAATGGACCAAGTGAGGATTATCAACGAATGTTTCAATACTTTCTGCACCAGTTTTGGACAACGAGTGAGTCATGCTAAAACTAGAGTGTTCTTCTCTAAAAATGTCCCATGCAAACACAGTTGGACCTGAGTGAGAGCCTTGGTTTCCAACCTACTTCAAATCTTGGAAAGTATTTGGGTATTAATATCTTTCATTCCAGAGTTACTAAGTCTACCTTTGCTAGCATGATTGAAAGAGCTGAACATCGCCTTAGTGCTTGGAAGGCCCGCACCCTTTCTATTGCTGGAAGATTGACTCTTACTCAATCTATTCTGACTTCTATTCCTTCTTACTGTATGCAGTCTTCCTTTATCCCTAGGTCCATTTGTGACGAGCTCGATAAGCTTTGTCGTCGTTCTATATGGGGAGGCAATGATGATTGTAGAGGAGTTCATTTAGTAGATTGGAATAAGTTGTGTACTCCAAAGGATAGGGGAGGATTATCCCTCAGACCTACTAGAACCATAAATAATGCTTTCATGCTCAAATTGGCTTGGGAAATTTGCACAAACCCTTCTACTCTTTGGGTGCAAGTGCTCAGAACCAAATATAAATGTGGCCCCAATATCTTCCTAGTAATATCCCGCTACCGTGACATATCTAACTGTTGGAGAGGGATTCTACATATAGGATGTTTTCAAGAACAATGTGGTTTGGAAACTAGGTAGAGGGAACCTCATTAGATTCTGGGAAGATAACTGGATTCCCACATTAGGGTCTCTTTGTGACAAAGCCATGTTTCCAATCCCAAATTATCAATTACTTTGGAAAGTTCGCGATTTGGTAACTAAAGATGGTGGTTGGGATTTTGCCCGCTTTCAAAACTTTCTTCCTCCTAATATTTGTAATCTTTTTGGCTCTATCATACCCCCCTCAATATCTCGAGGACCAGATACTCTGATTTAGAAACCCTCTCAAGATGGTTTATTTTCCATAAAATCAGCAGTGCATGTTGAGCTTAGGAGAGCTTAAAGAGTTTTGATGATCACAACATGAGAACAACAACTTGGAGCACAAGAACAAAGTCAAAGAAGAATCAAGAAAATGCTATGAAGTGGATCTATGTAATAGAACTTGGGAAATAAATTGTTTGAATGTGTTTTTATATTGTGTGCTAAGTATGCTTTGTGCATGAGCAAAATCTTATCTAAAACAAGTAGAGAGTATATGATGATGATTTAAAAACATTGGAAAGTTATTTTGAGTCTTAAAATGAAGTTTTAAGAACTAACTCAAAATAATCGATTATTGCTAAATATAATCGATTATTCAGCAAATAGGCTAAGTGGAATGCCTTGCTGTAATAATCGATTATTTGCCAAAATAATCGATTATCCCAGGAACAACTCTCTAGAATAATCGATTATCCAGCAAAATAATCGATTAAATTGTTCTTGGTTGGTTTCCAGAAAACCTGAAGAACAAAATAATCGATTATTCTTTAAAATAATCGATTATCTGGGTCTGAAACTTTTATAAATAGTTTGGACTTTGAGAAACTTCAGACATGAGTTAGAACTGATAATCATTTTGTGAAAAACACTTGTGTGAGTCTTTGTGACATCTTGGAGAGTTTTCTTTGTGAAATCCAAGAGTAAAAACATTTGCGAAAAGCTTGTGAGAAGATCATCATCATCATCATATTCTTGAAAGAAGAAGATAAAGATTTGTTCAAGAATTCTAGGTGAATTAGTTCCTTTTATTCTTTGTGAATATTTGTGAAAAATCTTGAGAAGGGTTTCTCAAGTAGTAAGGTTTCTTGTAGTGGGTTCTACAAGGGGTGCTTTCTTGAGGTCAAGAAAGTGGATATCTTTTACTATTGAAGTATATGCATGTGTGTGTGCTTGTAAACCTTCTTGCTTAAAGATAGTGGAACAAATCTTAATCAGGTGTTGATTAAGGACTGGATGTAGGTCACATGTGGAGTGGCTGAACCAGTATAAAAGACTTGTGCAATCTTCTTCAACCTTATCTTTTATTTTGTGTAATTTCTTGGTTGAACTTTAAAGAAGATAAAACTTGATTAACAAGAGTATGTGAATCTTGATGGTTTAAATCTGTAATTGAACATTATTGTTGAACCTCATTATGTTGTAATCAAGTGAGCATATTGTATTCATATTTTCATAACAAGTCTTTAAAAGAGCTTCATTTGGAAATTCTGTCATAGAAAAGTTTTGATTGAAATTAAGATCCAAAATACTCTGATAAATTTTTAACGGGTCATTGAATCCAATTTACCCCCCCTCTTGGATTGTGCCATTCTTTTCTAACAATGCATACTCTCCAGGACCATAACCATCAAACTCCCCATAGTAGCAATGTTTTCAAGGTCTTATGGAAATGGCCCGACCTCAATGGATCCGATTTCTCCTCTGGAAGATTGCTAATAATGCACTCGTCACGAATAAAGCTCGTTGTAAGCGTCGCATGGTTCAACATAATATTTTCCCGATCTGTAATTCCCAATCTAAAACCACCTTGCATGTCTTGCGAGACTGTCCTCCTATAGAACTCCTTTGGAAAAGATTGTTGCACCATTCCAGTGATCATTTCTTTCAAGTAACAGATTCTCAACAATGGATCCTTCTCAATATCGATGGACGATCTATATGTAGAGGGAATTGGGCTTTGGTCTTCGGGGGGTCATAACTGATCTGCTTTGGAAAAGGAGTAATGAATTTATATTCTCAAACAAATGGGAATTAAATTCCTCCTTACTTGCCAAGAAGAATAAAGTTGTGGATCAGATTGAACATGCAAAATTGGAACAAGGATTAATCTTTCAAATACAACGCAAGGTGGCAAGGGATAACTCTGCAGTCTCTAAACTGACTCACAAAGCGGCTTGTGGTGGTTTACTCTTACATGAATCAGGACTCTTTACAGGAGGTTTCTCTCGCCCTCTAGAATTAACTTCTGTTATACAAGCAGAATTATGGGCCATCTTCTATGGTCTTAGGTTGGCTCTAGCTAAGGGTTTCACCTACATAGTTGTTTTCTCAGATTCTATTCAAGCTCTCAATTTGATTGATCGAGTGACTCAACTCAGAGAATCTAATTCTCTGTTAGAATCCATCACCTCTCTCATTGGAATGGCTCAAGCAATGAAGTAGAATCATATTAGTAGAATCCAAAACATGGCTGTTGATTCTTTTGCAAAATATGGTCTCCCTCTTGAGGATGACGCTTGTATTTTCGAGTCTCCTCCACTCTTTGTGACTAGGTTTCTAAACTCTTCCTCTATCAAAGATAGTTTTCACGTATAATCATTTTTTTCTCAGACTTTTAGCCCCTTTATATCATAAAAAAAAAAAAGGAAATACATGTTATACAATACTGTAATTCACATAAGAAATACATTCTAACCAAATAATTCAATACATGAGTGGGTTATTAGAGACTAGAGCAGATTTTTAGGTCAATATAAACCTTTTTGGTCTTGATAAGAGCATCAGAAGAGGACTATTTCTTCATTTACAAACCTCTAGTAACTTGGGTTGGAAAGAGCTGTCTAATATGACATCTAAACCATACATTGCCCTTGATGATGGACTATGCATCTCAGGATGAGCAACAGCAGCTGCCACCAATCGAATCATATGCTTTACCCTTGTGTGTATATCCAACCATTTAACTGAGAGATACGGGGACAGGAATTTGTATCAAGAATTCATTCAATATGTATCCATGTTGTGCATGCCATTAAAAGCTCATCTTAAATGTGGCAGATAATAAACATGAAGCAGTCCCCATTACCTCGGTGTTGTTCCTCAAATTCCCTCACAAAATCGTTAACTTTCTTACGGTTTATTCTTCCGCAATAATTCTGTAATCCATGAAGTGACTATTAAAAACTTGTAGAGAAAAAGAAAGCACTGAAATATTAAATATTTCAATTTCATCAAGTTTCATCTGAAATCTTGTTGCTAAATAAAATGGTACTCAAGACATACCATAACAGTGAAGTGAGTTTCATATTCAAAGAAACTACTTCTGTCCAAAGAATATTAGTTGTTGGCTATCCTAACCTGAAAATGAAATATAAATCCTATTTCCATTAGTATCTTTTAAGAGTATAACAAAAATAAAGAGGCTCAACAAATTTTCTTCAGAGTCCATACGCATTAAGTTACTAAATGTTAGAACTCGAAAGAAAAATCAGTGTACCCAGAAACACTCTGACTGGAATATCTCGAGATGGTGCATCCTCCGAACCAGTACTATGTAACGGAGATCAAACTTTTTCCCCCGGAATGAGCCGTATAATTGCAGGCAAATTATCAGTTACAGTAGTATCAATTGTTGGGGCCATGTTCCAAGGTTTTAAGAACCAAAGATTGTCAAGTCCTTCCTTTTTGATGGGTTATTTTAGGGTTTAGGAACCCTAAACTTGTCCATATTATTCCCCAAAATTGGTTGTGAAACTTAAATTATAAATTTCCAGTTCTGGCAACTCCTTAATAATCACACCTGCAAGCTCCCCATCACTAGAAGACAAAAGTAAAGCAATTTTAGCTCCCTTTAACAGGAGTGAATACGTGATTTAATTATTAATTTTTAAATATGAATAAAGTTACCAATTTTTAAGAACCGGGTTATTGGTAAAACTATTAATTTATAAAGCCACCCACACTAGATGCAGCCCACTCACCCAAAAAAAAAAAAAACACTCAGTGGGCCAATTATTCAGTCCAATAGGTCCATCACATAGGGGGGGTTAGGGGCTCGTCACTGGTCCCTCGTGGGAGAAAAGAAAATTGAAGAAGGGTTGGGGCTTGCAATTTCTTCTCTGTCTCCGCTCTCCGCACTCTTCTATTCGTGACCCAACAGTCTAGCACCACCACCACGCACTGCCACTGTACAGGTGATTTTGCATTTGGATACTCATTTTGCACTGCCACTCCCACCGGCTTCGCTTCCTAATTGCTGATTATTAATATTTGCTCATTCTGCATTTGGATACACGCACGTATACTTTTCATTGTGTATAGCTATTTCATATTTTAATTCTGATTTACTGATTGTGTGTAGCTGATTTACTGATTGTGTATATGTAGCTTTTTAATATTTTAATACTGATTGTGTGTAGCAATTGTGTATACCGTATAGTTTTGATTTCTCGCTCACATTCTGATTGTCTATATTTAACTTTTGTATTGTACTGATTGTGTATTGATATTAAATTTAACACCCATAGAAACACAAATTAGTAAAAGCATTTTTTTGAAACAGATTATGGCTGGACATTAAAAAATATGTATATATATATATATATATATATATGTATATATATATATATTTTATTTTTATTTTTAAATTAAGTGAGTGAACTTGTCTAATCCATCAATCCATGGTGGATCATACAAGACTCATTTTTTTGTAATCTCACTAGGTGAGCTAGATTGGATTGACCTACCTAATATCCAACTTGTGGTGGTCCGAGTCGGATGGGGTGTTTTGACAGCTGTAGAAACAAATGCACAACCATAATTTTCATTCTGTGGCAATTTTAGGCATTTTATTTGCTTTGGAATTGATGGAGGCGAAATTTTTTCGCTTTCTCAAGATTGTGGGTGTTGGATACAAAGCCAGAGCTGAAGCTGCGGGGCGTCTGTTGTATCTCAAATTGGGTTACAGTCATGAGGTGGAACTTGCTGTCCCTCCTGCTGTCCGTGTTTTCTGCTTCAAAAACAATGTAATTTGCTGTACCGGAATAGACAAACAAAGGGTGCACCAGTTTGCTGCTACTGTTCGGACTTGTAAGCCACCTGAAGTTTACAAAGGCAAGGGCATAATGTATGTTGATGAAGTTATCAAGAAAAAACAGGGAAAGAAGTCTAAATAATCATATAATCTTAGGTGATTTTTCATGAAGTCTAGGACTCAGATGTACATTGGCTACACCTTGTCTGCACAATGATTCACTCTAGCCTTCAAACAATTTCAGTGTTGGAATCCTTGAACAGAGCATTATGGTAATCATGCATTTGCTTTAAAATAACAATAATTTTTTGTTTCAATACGATTGATATGCTGTACGTTTTAGGGTTAATCTTGCTTTGTTGAGATATTGTCGTGAAGTTTTAATTTATTCTATCTTTGATGCTTAATTAAAGCTCTTGTGTTCACATTTCTAAACTTAGGAGTTATATCTAGCTTCGATTTGATCTTTGCAGCTCTTAGATGATTTGCACATTAAAACAGCTTATTTTTATGTTAATAACTCGGTTACATTATGCTTCAAGCTTTTAAATTATAAGAAGCTTGTAGTGCTGGACATATCCACCATTGAAACATAATCTGTAAGGAATCTGAATGATCTTTTTTTATTTTTATTTTTTGTGTTTGTTGATTTTCATGTTCTTATTTATTTTAATGTTTTTTTCCAACTTAGAAGTAAAACAGACCTGGCTGCATTATTTTCACTTACATGTACTGTATCCAATTTATCCATTTTGTGGACAAGTATTTTATACCCAACAGGGAATTATTGGGGTACTTGACTTGGGAATTATATGTTTGGTTCCTTTTGTAATCTAATCTGAAATTCATTTATTTACTAATTTGTGTTTGGTTGTCTTAGTTTAGATGGTGTCTTTTTGAGTGTCGCAGAAGCTACTAAAGAATCTCTCTCGTGAATAATACTGCTATAATTGATGGTTTCCTGAAGCACAAAACAGCATAATAATACTGCTATAAAATATTTGAAAGTCAGCTACATTAACTGGAGTAGATTACTTCATAATGTTTCAGAAGCAAGAGCTTCGAAGGTAGTTCTAGTTTCCTTTTAGTTGTTTATCAACTGATATTGAACTATTTCTTTAATAAGACCACATCTCAATGATTTGCTTTAGCGTTGAAGATAGAGTTTTAAGTAAGTAGTGACCTCATTTGTGTGTTTTGGGTATTTGTCATACACAGTTGTGAACTCATTTGTGTATTTGTCAGTGATTTGTGCCAATACCTGTATTACATATGTTGTGTATTCTGTGATTTATCCAACAAGAATTTCCTCTGTACTTCAGCTTGTACTCTGTGCCCCCAAACCCCTATTTTTTCTGATTATTGACCACTTCCAATTCTGAGAATCATTTATGTTCATCTAGTTGTTGGCACCAAAAATGTTGGTCGACATAAAGGTGTAGTCATTATCCATCAGCTGTCAAAGAGGATTAAGGGTATAGGTAGTCGTTTTGAAAACAGCTATTCATAATGAAATGACTAATTTAGTCGATGCAAGAGGCAGAAAAGTAATAGTTATAGAGCAAGTTATTTGTGTAATAGACTAATAGTCATGACTGATAACGTGACAGACAGTGGCCTTCATGAATGTGTAGTATAGGGAGCAAAATTATGATCTTAATTATCGTTTGGCTTACAACATTTATTATTAAGCTATTTAGAGTGAACTAGAAATTCAATCAGGGAACAGAATCTCTTAAATGAATTGCCTAATTTTGGAATTAATTGATGTTAGTTGACACAACGGTTGATTGAAATTTACATTAACAGTAGTATAATTGTTTTACATATGTTTTGTATTTAGAATGTTATTTATTTTGTCACTCTTTGAACGAGTTTGTTTTTTCATGAGCAGAATGTAGGGTCGTGTAACAAATTGCACGGGTAGGATTAAAAACGTTGAAATGAGTTATAACTTGTTGCGGTTATATGTGTAAAAAAATGGTCGATTATAATTTATATCATTTGTGGTTTCTTATGGATTTGTTTACCTTTATATTGCCAATGCTAGCCTGGTTACTTCCACAGTTCTACCATTTATTGGTTCAAACTGGCTTTTAACATTGATAACGTCTCTTAAGTTGGAGAGAATAATCAACCCAAAGTGTTCGTTTAAGAATTTTGTTATCATAATCTTTGTATATAAAGAGAGGTGTTTTTTTTTTTTTTTTTTGCATGAATACAACCATTTTTTATAATTTAAAAATATCTTTATAATACAAGGATATAATACTAATAATAATTTTAACACATTAATATTTTCATTATAAGGCGTTTGATTACTGAAATTCAATACAAGAGTATAAGATAATATAGCAAGTGTGAACTACTGGAGTACTATTGCATATGTGACATATATAAGTGTCTATTTCAAAAGGAAATTTCACAGTTTAGTTTATGTAAAATTTGAGTCTTTATGAATCAAAATATTCCAAAGAGATAAGTAAAGGATATTGGGTTCACGTATGAGAAAATGTAAATCTATTGTAGTTTGAATATGTTGATTTGTTCCCATAGGCATGTGAAAAACATTTTTATTTATTTGACTTTACTGGATCTAATATTTTATTCTTTAATGATCATATTTGGATAAGTTTATTCCTTTATTTTAAATATAAATAAAAATATAAAATTTATTATATATATATATAATAAGTTTTTTCGTGCATATATATATATAT